CTTGTCGATTAAAGCAATGGATGTGGGGGTAAATACCGAGTTTAATCTCAGTTTCCTTCTCATTTCACATCTCACAGTCAGTACAGGCATCTGATTCGGTGCACTTGGCTTTGGTCTATGATGTTTCAAGAACCTCTGCAGCTTTTCAAAACATGGCCGCGTTTAATCTAATCATCCATGGGAAAGCAGTTACACAAAGATCTGCACAACCAGAGAACACCCACTAACCACAGCAAAACATGGGCAGCTTTGCTGTTGTGTCTCAACCACTTCCTAAGTCTCAGCTGAATATTTGGTCTTGACTTTTCAAGTGAACTGACTTTAGCTTCGGAAGCACACTGGAGTCTTTCATAGTGGAGAGATTCACTTTGCACATTTTATAATTAACTACTATAAAGCAAAACTTCAGCATGTTTGCAAATTATGGATTTCATTAGTCTAAATAAAATCAGGTTGTTCCCCCTAGGATATTAGAAGCTGGCCCAACATCAATAAAATTATTGTTTGTAAGGACCATGTGTGCAGCAGGTGAAATCTTTATTATACAAGTAGATAAATAAAAATTTGACAAGTTAAAAATATAAACTCAAAATGTAAACTTACATTAACTTGAAAACATTCTGAAGTTCACATTTGGATTGCAAAGTGGTTGTAAACACATTCTTGCCTTCACTTAAGGCACATGGATAGGGATCGCGTTTTTGAAAGTTTGAATGTCCTTATAATATCTTAAATGTCTTTATAATATAGCCAAGGTTCACATGCACATAACACAAAAGGAGGGAGGCAATTTATGACCGACTGCCTATGTAGAGTCTATACAAATCAACATCTATCTTCCAGAAGCCTGTATTAGCATCACTTGACTATCTACATTCAAAATCTAACTCTTTATTTGAGAGAATTAGCAGGAAAAGAAAAGCATTCCAGTTAACCTGTGGTATATAAAAAGAGTAATTTTTCTGAATTGTTTATTTTTAACCCATGTTATTTTGACTTTAGGTAATCTAACACCCTGGGTAGAAATGGAGCAAGATACGAACCTCAGTTCTGCCTTTACTTTTCTAATGTGTTAAGTCTCAATGTAGGAATCTTTTTTGGAGGGGGTAGGTAAAAGGTAAAAGAAAATTTTGATTCTGTTTGATGGTGCATAAAATGAATGTAACTTTGAATTCTAAACTGCTGTATATAGAAAGAGGAAAGAGTTGGATACTCCCATGAGAACCTGTAAGTTAGTTAATGAAAGCATTCTTCTTATTCAATATATCCTTTCACTGCTTATAAAAGAAAAAAGGTAGAACTATCATGGGAGCAGCATGGGAATCTTCTCCCAGCTTGTGTTTTGAGCACGATAGCACATTTACACTGCCTGTTTGCATGAAGCAAATTGCACATTTTGGAATGAGACTCAGGCAACCTCAAAACACTGATAGACTGAGGATTCAAAACATCATTTGTAACCACCAAACTTAAGCTGTATACATAACTCCCAAATCTGGAAAATCACAAATGTCTCATAAAAAGCAAGGGGGGAGACTGCGTGAATAGAGTAGATCAGAGTCAAGAGTCTGGTTAGCTCAGGCCAATAGCTTCATACAACAACCCAAAAATAAAGTACTAGAAACAGATCAGCAGTCTGCATTGCCCAAGATCAAACTGGCTGTGTAAAAGTACACAAATGATTAGGAAATATTTTGTCAGGCTATCTCTTTTATATGTTTAAGGCTTATATTTTATAACACATGTTCCTAATGTTTAGGCAAAAAGTGAAATTAAATAATAATAAAGCAATTAGAAAATAAAATGAATGAAAGCCATATTTCTTAATGAAAGGAAAAATAAATCCATATTCCCCTACCTCCAGACCTTAAACATCTCAGATGAGCCCCTACATAACACAGAAAGAGAATTAAGTAGGCAGTGTTTGGTTGGAGAATGAATTATAAAGAATCTCAAAAAAGGTAAACAAAGATGATCCAATTATGAAATTAAAGTGGACACGAGGGCATAATAATCACATATCTAAGATTTGGGTTTAATTTTGGATGTAGAAGCCCACATTCTCCTACATTGTTTCCCTGTATAACTGTCTAATATTTTTGAACTACTAAGATACATTTTTAGTGTGTGTATGTGTGTGTGTGTGTGTGTGTGCGTGTGTGTGTGTGTGTGTGTGTTCTTATCAGTATCTCGTTTCCTACTTGAACTGCTTCGTCAGTTCTGTAAACCAAGACCCTTGGTGTAGAAAGTTTTTTTTTGGAGGGCTGGGAAAGGTGATGCTGCAGTTCATTCCAGCCTGGTCACCTTGAGAGTCAAAGTAACCCTGAAGAAGCTGCATTTGTTGCCCTAGTATTTGTCTTGCAGGGGAGCCTCCCAGATGCTCTCATCGTGTGAAAACCAATCACTACAAGAGAGCAGGAGAGAAGGAAGAAATTGCGCTTTTTGCAAAGAATGTGTAATCGCTTCTTTTGAAGATCAGAATTTAGAGCTCATAATCCTGTGGATGAATGATGCCAAAATTCAACTCTGCAGCTTATTCCCCATCATTTCTCTACTCGTCCTCAGACCAATCAGCCTCTATCTTCACGTGGATTTAGAACCTTTCTCATGGGACTTCTCTCATTCTGAATGTTTGTGATTAATTACTGGCATACTTTTAAAATCTCCTCTATTTAATTACACTCCTCCTGAGGATTTGAACTGATTCTTCTTTGAGATTGGAATGTTGCCTTGAGCATGTCTCATGTTTCTAAATCCCGCTTACTCATTCATGCACGTACACAGATATGAAATAAATATTGATGAAGGTCGCGCTTTTATGAGGTCGTTTAATAGGCATGAATGAGAAACAAGTGAAGACATAGTCCCGATCCTGTGCCCAAATGGCATGTGTAATCTAGTCAACCAACTCTTTAAGAGCAACACTGGAGGGAGGCAGGTCTTCTTAGTCCACCTTATAGGAAAGAAACAGAGACTCAAGTGTCTAAATTGCTGGTCTGAGATCAAAGAGAGAACCCAGAGACAGAGCTAGGACTTCACTCAGATCTTAGGTTTCTGCATCCAAAGATACTCAGTTAATAAAAGTGTTCAATTGAATTGTAATCAGTGCTGCTGTTAGATAGTTATTTATGTTAAAGTTTTGTGTTTGTGGATTTTTTTGGTTAGGAGGTAAGAAGAATGTCATGATTAATACTTAAGAATGTAAGATTGACTACCAAATTCTGCTTTACTGCTGCAATATTCTGACTTATGCAATTACACTGTACCTTTGATTAGAAGTTATTTTACTCCCCAAAGAAAACATAGCAGTTAAAAAGTGACATGTTGTGAAAATATTTTCTACCTACTAGGAAAGTGAAAAAGAAGTTTTAATTCCCATTTTAAAGTTATGATTTTATATCTTAAAAAAATTAAACCTACATATGTAGCAAAAAGTACAATAATTATCAAGCCAAAATTCCTTCCCCAAAAGATGATGCTAAGAGGTGATCTATACATTAAAAATGTAAATAAACTAATTAAAAAGCAAAATAGAAGTACACATGAACATAAATACAACCTACCATCTAAACCCTACTCAATTTGGTCCCTAAAACAACTCAGTGAAATAGGCACTATTATCCCCTATATTTCAAATATGAAAATGGAAGCTTAGAGAGTTTAAATAATTAAACCAATGTGGGCACAGGTAGAAAGTTCTTTAGCAAGAATTGAACCCAGATGTATCCAATTTTAACATCTTGTCCTAAGTGTACTAAGCCAATTTCTCATACACCTAGTAGCTTAGGTTAATGATTATGAAGAACATACTCCTTATGTCAAAAATATTTTTTAGCAACCAATTCAGTCCTATATTTATAGTTGTAGGGTTTGGATGTGTTTCTTATAACAAACAAATCAGGTAAATGACATTTTAAAACAAACCCTGTTGAGTATAGGGGTTTTATTTATTTATTTATTTATTTTGAGCTGGAGTTTCACTCTGCCACCCAGACTGGAGTGCAGTGGCCGCTCCCGGCCACTGCAGCCTCAACCTGCTGGACTCCGGGGATCCTTCCCAAGTAGCTGGAAGTACAGGCGCGTGCTACCACGGCCGGCTAATTTTTTGATTTATTGTAGAGATGAGGTCTCACCAAGTTGCC